CAGACATTGGCAAATACCCCTTGGAGGTGGTGATAGAACCACCAGCTAAGGCATACTGTTTTGTGCATTATCAAAACCAAAGTTTGAACTATAACAAACCTCAATCTTTATTTTTACAAGAGGCATATAACATAAAATGAAAACAAGGGGAGCCAAAATTTTCTGGCAGTGGAAACCTATTTTAAAATATAATCGAATTTTTATTATAATTTTAGACTGGCCAGTTTCTGTACTGCTAGATCTGATTTCAACTGAACCTCAGCTACTTTCAAAGTAATTTCTCTATAAAGAGCACCACTCACTTTTAGGTTCATTCCCAATGTGATTTGCTGCTTTTCTCTCTGAAGTTCTTTTCTGTACGGATGTATTTTTTCCTCTCTGTCTGATAAGGAAGCCACAATGACACTGCTCTTATTTTTGCTTGCTTCATACTGCTGTACAAAGTTGCTTTCAACCTCAGCTAAGGCAGAAAAAAGAGAACTAGTAAGGGTAACCAGTTCCTTCTCCAAGGTTAATGCCAAATGGTCAATTAGGAAATCTTCACTTCCTAATTTTAATTTTTTGAAGAAACAGTTTACAGGGAGAACTCTGATGAGATAATGAAGGCACTGGAACAAAACAGTTTGATTCCTGGAATAAAACAAACAAACACAATATTATAAATATCAGGATAGCACTAAGCAATCATTTACAATACATTGTAGTAATCAATAAATATTCATTTAAAAACACTAACAATGAACAGAACCAATAATGCATGTGATCATTGGTAAAATTCAGATGGTAGCAATAAAATATACATATTGTATGCCAAGTCTGTTAATATTAATCGGGTTGCTTCCTGATTAATGTTTTTCCTCTGAGTTAGTAAGATCAGTATAATATTTTTTAAATTTTATTGTGAGGGACAGGTAAGCAGGAAATTATAGAATAATTATTAGGTCCTAATCAACCTCCAAAATAACTAAAAACAAAAAAGTTCCAAACATATAAAATTAAAAAACATAGCTCTTCAGTTTCTAAATGAGGACACCTGTTCATTCGTGCCATACTAGGCAATGACTGTGAATATCCCACAACAGTACAGAACTCTACCATGGAGGTCACTGTTGGACCACACACTCAGCACACCTATGCACACCAAGTTCTCTGAACCTATTTCAATTTGATGTGCATTACCTGCAATAGACTATTAAAATTCCTTCGCATAGCGTTCTTTGTTTCCAGTTGAAGAGTGTCCCATAAAAACTTCCTGGCCTTTTACAAAACCACATTTCCGGAAATTCTTTGATTACTTCACATTGCATGTATTCTAAGAGCCATGTCCTCATTGAAGTCAGGGTATGGCCAGATGATGTGATTTGAAAACAAAATTTGTGTAATGCTGCGAGAAGTACAAAAAAATCTTCCATGTTTTCTATAAGAAAAAAAATGTCACAAGCTCTGTCATTAAACTCTGTCCATTATCAAATAAACAGTTTCTTAAAATTTTCAGATTCAATTAAGTATATGACTGAAAAGTACGAACGAAAATTACCTACAGATTCATTCTTTGGAAATGTCACTAGGTATTTCCCCCTTGAAATATCTTCCAGACTTAAAAAAAGTCTGCCACAAGGAACAGAACGATTTTCAGAATGGTTACCATTTTTTCTCTCCCTAATTTGTAGCAGTACAATGCAACAGAAATTATTGAGTGCTAAAAGTGGTGGAAGAGATGTTACGGCAGTAATTATCTGTACACAATCTTTCTTAGATGGTTGTTGACAAACAAAGCTTTTCTCTTCCTTGCTATGAAGGGTTAACTTGATTCTTTTTGCCTCTGATCCGACTTCATATGGCATAGAAGGTGATGCTGGTAAAGAACCCGTACTCAACTTAATCACCCTATTTTGACACTTAAGCAGAAAGCTGGAGTCACAAGCTTGATCCAATAACAGCGATAAAGTCACATCATTCAGAGACCTGTAAATAATCCACAGAGTTTGGTTATAGTTTACAAGTTCATTCTTTAAAGTTAAATAGGTGATTAAATACCATACAACAAAAAATTTATTTTCATTCTCTCTTTTTCTAGGAAACATTTCAAATGTAAAATATATCAGAAAATTAAGAGTAAACACTACAGTTTTCAAGATCCTATAATAGCACTTCTCTTAAAACAGGCAAGCAAAGACACTGCAAATAAGCTGGACTACAAGAAAATAATTTCTCCAATTTAAACTAAAAAAAATTTTTTTTAAGATAAAGGAATGGTAAAATGTCTAGATTTTATTTTTCAGGTAGGTTGTTTTTTCTCTTTGTAAACAAGAAAAATAAAATCTCATTATTTAAAAAAAAACACCCAACCTTATTTTGGTAATGATTTACAATGTGAATACTCATAAACTAAAAACTGCATTTTATAATCTTGTAAGTGACTTCAATAAAATCTACTTTTGACTACAAAGTATTATTTATCCCTTAGCAATTCTTTCGGGATTTACATTTATAACAATTTACAAATATGATACGGTCTTGTTTTAGTACATTCCAACATTGCCAGAGTTTATCAAGTAAAAATAGGTGAGAATGGTGATATAACCATAGAGGACTTAACACCCAGGAAGTTCACTGTGTGCACTTAGGGTTATAGCCTAAGAATAAAAAAGAACCTCAAAAAAATCTGAAACAATTTGTAGTAATTATATTATTGGTATTGTTATTCTAGGAATATTGCATATATATTATGGGATAAAGCAAATGAGTACTTACGTTGGTACAACTGAGAACTGGAATTTTTAGCATGGGAGAAAGAAGAGAGATGCAAGATTGATGAGGTTAAGTAAAAATCTTGAAGTTTTGAATCTGAATTAGAAGTATCAGCATGGACTCATGCTGTATTTTACCTCTTAAAAAAAAACACAAAACAAAAAACGTATTTCCTACCTATGCCCACAAAAAGGCCTAGAAATAACCACCACTCACAAGCAATGAGCTTCTCTTGTGCCCAGACTCTGGTTTCTAAATTACAAACTATATATGAGGGTAACTAAATAATTGATAAGGAGAAGTTTCTTATCACCATTTTGCAAATGCTAATGAAACAATCTGTCAGTCTGTTCTGTGGTGGCTTGTGTATTGCTGTGATGCTGGAAGCTATGCCACCGGTATTTCAAATACCAGCAAGGTCACCCATGGTGGACAGGTTTCAGTAGAGCTTCCAGACTAGGAAGAAGGACTTGGTGATCTACTTCTTAAAAAAATGAATAAAGAAGACCAAAAAAGAATTGATGCATTTGAATTACAGTGTTGGCGAAGAATATTGAATATACCATGGACTGTCAGAAGAATAAACAAATCTGTCTTGGAAGAAGTTCAGCCAGAATGCTCCTTAGAAACGAGGATGGCAAGACTTCATCTCACGTATTTTGGACATGTTATTAGGAGGGAGCAGTCCCTGGAGAAGGACATCATGCTTGGTAAAGTAGAAGGTCAGCAAAAAAGAGGAACACAGTGGCTGCAACAATAGGCTCAAACATAGCAACGACTGGGAGGATGGTGCAGGATTGGGCAGTGTTTCGTTCTGTTGTACATAGGGTCCCTATCAGTCGGAACCAACTCGATGGCACCTAACAACAACAACAACAACGAAACAATGGAACTAGGCAATGCTCATCAACAGCTGCTAATATCACAAAATGAAAATGATTAGACCTTATATATCTCCTGAAGGAAGAATGCAACACTATCTATTAAGTATTCTTGTTAAAAAAGAAAAAATCAAGCATTAATTGGATCCTGCTTCTAAGTCTAATACCAGTTTAGAGGAAATACACGAGTCAGAGACAGGTTTAAAAAAAAATAACAGGATGAAATCAGCAAAATCCAGTCTAAAGAACTTTATAGGGCAAACTGCCTCGTTTCTTCAAAAATACACTGTAAGGGAAAAAAAGACTTGAAGGGGAACCTATAGATTGAAGGTCTTCATTGCGTTCCAGGTAAGTACAACCAAACATCAAAAAAACAGATCATTCCAAATTTACAAACTGTTCCAGAGAATGGGAAAAAAGGAAACACCCCCCAACTCATTTATAAGCTAGTGTAGCCTTCACTAAAGCTAGGCAAGTATTGTTCACGAACATTTCAAGTCAATTTCACTCATGAACATAGACGCAAATATCCTTAACCAAATGTAAGCAAACTTAATCCAGCAATACACTAAGTGTTAGCAAACCTAATCAAGCAGTGAACCAAAAGAAATCAGGATGAATTTGGGTTTATCTCTAGGAATGCAAGAAAATTAAAGAAATTAGAAATTAAAGAAAAACCATATAAACAACCAGATCAAAACAACTTAGACATTCAGTGAAACAAAATAAACCCGTATCTCAAAAATGATTCTGGATCCACTAAAAACGCAGCCTGGCTTCCTTACTATATTAAGCTGCTCAGATATATTTCCTTCTAGAACACTGCCATCATCTCTCAGACTATCGTAAGGCACTATCTGGTTTCTCTCTGATTGCATAGTTGTGGTTCAAATGTAGTTAATGTAATATCTGTATTGGGGGAAGTACAAGCTTTGGTTAGAAAGCTCTTTGCTGTGCTACAGACAGCACAGACATTACTTCCTCATCCATGGTTTCAAGAACCCAAAAGAGAAAATTAATAGAGATATAAAAATTGTTATCTATTATTAGAAGTAGATACTTTATTTAACCAAATTTTCACCTTTCTACTTTAGCCAATAGTCTCTAAATGCTTCTGATACGTCTAAATGTCCTGATGAGAAACTTCTGTGCATTGTTTAACTATTCCTACTCTGAAGGCTACAGAAACTTGACCTGACAATGTCCAGTGATTTCATAAACCCTATCCTTGTCATATTATTAACTCAAATGCTTTGTGTAAAACAGATACTTCTAGAGCTGTGCTGGCCAATACAGAAGCCACTAGCCATGTGAAGCTATGGAACACTAGAAATGTAGTTAGTCCAAATGGAGATGTACTGTACATGTACACCAAATCTTAAAAACTTCCTTTAAAAAAATAAATGTAAAACATCTCATTAATAATTTTATATATTGATTACATGTTGAAATGAAGTGATAATATCTTGGATATACTGGCTTAAATAAAAAGTATTAAAATTAATTTCACCTTTTTCTATTGACATTTTTAACATGGCTACTAAACAAACAAACAAAAAACTCCATATCAGTTGCTAGCAAGTTGATTCCAACTCATGGTGACCCCATGTATGCAGAGTAAAACTGTGTTCCATAGGTTTTCAAGGCTGTGACCTTTCACAAGCAGACTGCCAGGCCTTTATTCCAAGGCTCTTCTGGGTGGGTTTGAACCACCAACCTTTCGCTTACTAGTTTGCACCACTCAGGGACTCCATATTATGAGTGTGTTATGGATTGAATTGTATCCCCCCGCAAAAATGTGTGTCAACTTGGCTAGGCCATGATTTCTAGTACTGTGTGACTGTCCACTATTTTGTCATCTGATGTGATTTTCCTATGTGTTGTAAATTCTACCTCTACGATGTTAATGAGATAGGATTAGAGGCAGTTATGTTAATGAAGCAGGACTCAATCTACAAGATTAGGTTTTGTCTTAAGTCAATCTCTTTTGAGATATAAAAGACAGAAGTGAGCAGAAAGACAGGGGGACTTCATTACCACCAAGCAAGAAAAACCAGGGGCACACATCCTTTGGACCCAGTGTCCCTGCACTGAGAAGCTCCTAGACCAGGGGAAGACTGATGACAAGGACCAGCCCCCAGAACTGACAGAGAGAGAAAGCCTTCCCCTGGAGCTGGCACCCTGAATTTGGACTTCCAGCCTCCTAGACTGAGAGAATAAACTTCTGTTTGTTAAAGCCATCCACTCGTGGTATTTCTGTTATAGCAGCACTAGATGACTAAGACAAAGTACCTACGTGGCTTGCATTTTATTTCCATTGGACAGCACTGTCCTAGAGCATCAAGACATTTACTTACAGTTGCAAAGAAGATGTGGTTTTCACTCCAACAACCAAGCTATCATCCATTACACGATACCACATCTTCTCTATTAGATGTTCTGAATCTTTTAAATCATCTGATATCTTTTCATCAAAGGTATGCACAGGATTTTCTTTTTCACCACAAAGAGGAACAAGGTACTCCTTACAGAAAAACATGTTTAAATAACTGATTACAAAAAATGTACTGAACGTAGGAAAACTAGGGAAAAAACACAAATCAGCTTTTGGACTGGCCTTATGGCCTAGATATTTAAAAGTAAAGTCTAATGCATATAATATACTGCATTACAGATTACACATAATTGACTAAAATAAAACTTACAAAACATATATAATTAACTAAAATTATCCACTCAGATCAAGAAGCATGGCATGACTGGAAACAAGATGGAGTGTCCAACATAGTCAGCAGGGATGTAAACTTGGAGTCCATTTTTCAAAATAAACTGACAGTACATAACCCCAGGTATATCGAGACAATCAAATCCTTAAATAAAAAACAATATAATCAAATTTTACTAGTGACATACACTAAGCCTATAACTGAACTTTTATATGAATAAAACTGATTAAACTATCTTTGAACTGCTTAAAGATTACTGCTAAAATTTTAGTGTTAAAGTCCAGGCCATACTCACTGATTTCCACACATATGGATTTATAATAACTTTAGAAATAGTAGTAGTAATAATAATATGAAACAATTACTGAGTGCTTACTATAAGCTAGTCACTGTCCTAAATGTTATTCACAAAAACCCTAGTACCCTAGGTTGGTACTATTACTAACTATATTTTACAGATAAGGAAAATGAGGCACAGGGAGGTTAGGTAACTTGCCCAAGGTCACACAGCTAGCAAGTGGCAGAACTAGGATTAGAAGTGAAGCAGACTGGTTCCAGAGTCCAGGTTCTAGCTTCACTATTCTTCTATCCTCCCTCTCTATGTGGTAATTATTGAAAAATACATACGGACACTTAACATACAGTATAGCAGACCAAACATGTTCCCAGGAATCTGACGCTTCTGCTAATGGCTGTGAGATCTGAGGCCAGCTACTTATCTGAAACCTGGGGAAAATTGTACTACTTGCCAGGGTTGCTTTCAAAGTTAACTAAGAAACAATGGAAATGGCCAAAATGGTGCCTTGCACATAGAAGTTTCAATTCATTAATTTCTAAACATTCCTTCCCCTTTCTAATACTGGCCAAATTGTTAGAGTGAGGTGGAAGATGGAAAATGGGGAGACTTTAATGATTAATTGTGTGAGGTTTCCCAGGAAATTAGAACAGTAATATAAAAATGCAATATCATGTGCTTTTGTGATAGTTTTTACATTAACTGGGCCATATTTTGGACCAAAACCCTCATATTGCTACACTTAAATACAAGCACGAGGCTGAGACCGTTACAAGAATGGTCAATCTAGAAGGAAGTCAGAGCTGGGCACTGAAGTGACTTGAGAAAATAAAATGTGACATTAAGCGTCTCTCCCTCCAGCTTTTCTTGATTTATTTTTAATTTTGCTATACTGTGTCTTTCTCTGAATGAAACCACTAATGTATGGAAAACCAAAAAAAACTGTTGTCCATCAAGTTGACCCACAGCGACCCTATAGGATGGAGTAGAACTGCTCCATAGGGTTTACAAGGCTGTAACCCTTACGGAAGCAGACCACCACATCTTTCTGCTGCGGAGTGGGTCGTGGGTTCAAACCGCCGATCTTGTGGTTAGCAGCTGAACACTTAACCACGGTGCCACGAGGGCTCCTTACTAATGTATGTAGATGCTACTTTTTATAAAGTCTGAACAGTTTTTGCTGATTTTCTACATTGCTTAACTGGCATAAGTAACTGCAAGGTACCTGAAAAAGCTCTTATGATGGTCAACCACAAGGAAAAAGAGAGTAAAATTATTAAAAAGTACATATAAGGACTAAAAAAGCACAGCAATTTAGGGATACTTACTACAAGAATAAATATCCTTAGAAATGAATGATACAATAGACTGAAAAACAGTACACAAATGATGGCATTACATCATCATTGTCACGGTTTCAATTATGTCCCTCCAAAAATGTGTTTCTCAATTTGGCTGGACCATGATTCCCAGAATTGCATGGTTGGCCCCCATTTTGTGACTGTAATTTTATGTTAAAGAGGATTAGGGTGGGATTGTAACACCACCCTTACCCAGGTCACATCCCTGATCCAATGTAAAGGATTTTCCCTAGGGTGTGGCCTGCACCACCTTTTACCTTACAAGAGATAAAAGGAAAAGGAAGCAAGTAGAGAGCGGGGGACCTCCTATACCACCAAGAAAGAAGCACTGGGAGCAGAACGTGTCCTTTGGACCCGAGGTTCCTGCGCAGAGAAGCTCCTAGTCCGGGGGAAGACTGATGATGACAAGGACCTTCCTCCAGAGTCGACAGAGACAGAAAGCCTTCCCCTGGAGCTGACACCCTGAATTTGGACTTCTAGCTTACTAGACTGTGAGAAAATAAATTTCTCTTTGTGAAAGCCATCCACTTACAGCAGCACTAGATGACTAAGACAATCATCAATACAAGGTTAAATAATGCTCAGTATAGGCTGTTTAAGAAGTCAGGAAATATATAATTCATTTAGGAGTAATTTCTATACCAACCATACAAATAAAAAAGTTTTAATAGTTAAATTTTTTTTTTAGACAAAAGTACTTATTTTCCCCAAGGTTCCTGATAACTGAGACTTTAATATCTTACAGAATCATTTGCAACTTGGTAAAATATTGGCTCTTTAATCAAATACTATACAAGGTCATAAATTATGTCATAAATTATAATCCCTGCCAATTTTCTTCTTGATCCTCTGAGCAGCATTTTCTAATATATTCCAGTTGAAATAATTCTTCAATAACTTGCAAATTTTCAACTCATAAAATGATAAAATGGTCATATGACTAATTTTACCTCCTCTGTACTTGATGTTATATCAGTCTTCCCTTGAACCAGGTTTATTAAAGCTTTGCAAGATTTTGAAATAACTTTTTCCTTAAGCAGGAGATGCTGCTGTAAATCCTGAACTGAAGCCAAACCAATCTGTAAAGTAGAAAGAAAAACAGTTGCCAGAAACAATTTCAAATGAAAACTGTCATACCATTCATTCATGAAGTACTTTCTCCAAATGTGGTTTATAGTTCACTTTTCTGTAGAGAAGCAGAGAATATTTCTCAGAGCAAAACTGTTTTATTTCTAAATTTTAAGTCTCTAATTACCAAAAAAATGTAATATTTTCTTTCAAAGAGGAATAATACAGCAAATAACTGCTTGCAATACAGAGTCTACATGTCAAATTGAGAGAATGTCAGTGTATTGCAACATCAGTTTCATCACTGAGTTTTTAAGTAACCAGGAGTCAACATGAATAAAATAAGGCCTATCAACACTCCCATCCCCACAAGAAAACTGTTTTTCTTGCTACTGAAATAAGTTCTGCTTCAAAAACAAAGTATCCACAAAAGCAGAGACATCACCATGAATAAAGAATCACTTTTAGTTTCAGACTGTTTAAAATCCTGTATTCACAGTAATCTTTACAGCAAAATTTTAAATATAATTTACAATAGACCCAAAATTCATAAATTTATTTTTGTGCTAATAACCTCAGTACTAGGGTTGACTCCTAACTGCTGAAAAAAAAAATAATTTGGCTCTAAACTGGACATTGAGCAATCCATTCTTTTTATTATACCAGTTAAACAGATTTCAGCACTAAAGATAAAACCTTCACGAAATAAATTTTGCTATTGAAAATCTAAAAAGATCCACGTCATTGAACTGATGGAAGCTGTTTCATTTCTGATGGAGACCTGGGACTGTTTAAGTATTAATCCAGTTTTTAATATAATAGGTTTTTCTAGATATAAAAGGCAACATGCATTTCTTTTTTTGGATTCTTTTTCTTTTAAATAAAATTTTTTTGGGAAAAAAGGCAGGTAAATTCTTTTTCTTGTTATCAATGAATGGAAGTTGAAGGGTAAGGACTGAACTAGCTGCAAATCTCATTGCACAAAGTATGTAAAGTGTCTAACCAACATTTCAAAATTTCATACACTGACCTAGTTCTGTGGGCTCTATATCATTCACATCCCATCACTCATTCACTGAGTAATTCATGACTTTGGGGGAGGAAGTTGCACCCCTAAAAGGTAAACAGCCAAATGTGAGGCTGCTGGAGGAACAGGTAGTGGAAGCGAGGAATATGCGGGCAGATTCAAAATGTACCCTCAGAAATTATTACTGGTGTTCTCCCCTCCCTCCTCTCTTCATCACAGCCCCCACTCCAAGATGAAATTGTGAATCACTAGACCAGTTAAATGATCTATGTTGCGAAGTTTTACTATAAAATTATGAAAATAAGTGGCAAGTGGTAAAAAAAATTTCAAATAATATAAAAGTAAATCTCACCCTTCCTTCTGAGGCCCTCAGTTTCCATTTGCACAGCCAACAGACTATTTACCTTTCCAGAACTTTTCCATGTCTGTATTATAAAATGCTTGCCTCCTCCTCTCCACAAACCAACCAACCAACCACCCAAAACCAAAAACAATAGCACACTATACTACATGGCACTAAGCCTTGCTTTTTTGTTCTTTTTACTGTCCTTGGGTGGGGCAAATGGTTAAGCGCTCGACTACTAGCTGAAAGGTTGGCAGTTCAAACCCACTCAGAGGCACCTGAGAAGACAGGCCTGGCAATATGTTACCGAAAGGTCATAGCCTCGAAAACCCTATGGAGCAGTTCTACTCTGCACACATCGGGTCACCATGAGTCAGAATCGACTCAACAGCAACTAACAACAACATTATATATGCAGAAAGAGTGCATGATAAAAAAAGTTTAATGAATCCACACGGGGACTATACTGATAATCACTGGAATTTTCTGTGTATTTAAAATTTTTACACATAAAAAAGGCAGGTTATGAAAAAACATGCATCATATAATCACATTTCTATCTAAATCTGCATATATTCATATAAATAAGTCTGCATGAATATCCATGTCAGAATGTTAAAATTGGTTATATATCTCAGTAGTGGAATCACAGATAATTGTTATTTCCTTTTTTAATATTTCTGTGCAAAGTCTGAATATTTTACAGTGAATGTGCATTACCTATATACATTTGGAAAACCTCAAAAACTCTTTTTTAGGAAGTTTTTTTATGGAAAGCTTAAGGGTTAAACTGTTCATCTTTGGAATGTTTATAATTCATCATCTTCATCTCTCTAAAAGAAATCCCATGCTATACAGATCCTACAGACCAGAAAGAATGTGTTTTCAAAATTGAGTTTCTTTTATCTTATCTTATGAGGCTTACTAAGTCTATACAATCTTACTACAAAAAGATATCATTTTTAGATGATACATTTGTAAGTAAAACCATAATAGTTTTTACAGAGGTAGCAAAAAAATAAAGATCTTTTGAAATATCATTGCTTTTTCCAGTCACTAAGTTGTTTATACTTAAAGGACCTTTTCTTTCAATATTCTTTATTTAGAATAGCACTATTCAAAAAAAAAAAAAGCAAAAATCTAACACAAACACTAACTTTCAATCTTCTTTCTAAAGCTGGAATCACCAAAGAATGAGGAGAATTCTTCTCGATGTCTTCAATTAAAATATCTTCACTGCAATCCAACGCATCACTCTAATAAATAAGACAAACACATAAACCAAAAATCTAAAACGAATTTGAAATAAACCAAAAATTCATGAGATTAACAAAATACAATTAAAGTTTATCCAGTCAAAGAGCAGTTTTCCACGTTATACACTATTTTACAAAAGGCAAATTATATCTTTTCCCCATCATCTTCTTGTACCTAGAAAAAAATCACTATGACTACTATTACCACCTAACATTTGTATAGTGCTTTATAAAGTATCAACTCACTGGATTTTCACAAAATTCCATAGATAAAGTAAGAATTATCCTCATTCTACAAATGAAAAAAATTGAGGCTCAGAGAGATTTTGTATATATCTTAAACTTCAGTGGTATTATTTCCCTTATGCACAAGATCTCAAGATATTAACAACAATTCCTTCTTTTAATAAACCGCAGTTTCATTTCAGTTTATTCCTTAATTTAAATTAACCCAATATCATCATGTTTATTGGTATATGATTTTCAGAAGCAACAATAAAGTTAATTTTCAACATTACTATCACTTTAGTGACCGCTAGATATACTATATTTCAAACTTATACCAAAAGCATAAAGCCAATTTGTATAACATTTGTTGAAAGGAAATTCAATGTACATATTTAAATGATCCAAGCTATGTATTTTTAAAATTGAAAAAGCTTAAGTATGAAATCACAAATATTTGAATGGTAGCTCAAAAGCTTTTAAGCATTTAAATTTTTCTAAAACGGTTATTAATGTATAAAAATAGAACTTGCTGAATAGTTTATGCTGACGAGATCTGTTATTTTAAATGAAGTCAGGCAATCAGAGTCCAAGAAGCTCTTCCAGAGTAGCAGCACTTGTTCAGTTCCAGCTCCAATAAAGTCATCGATCAGTACTGAGAAAATTTTTTCCCACTTAGTGGCAATCTGCAAGGAAGAGATAAGGGAGGAATACAGGAAAAAAAGAAAAGAAAAAAAAAACAGATGTGAAAAAACTAAGTCCTTTTGTTTCATGTAGCTGTAATTTGTTCTCTTCGATTTTACAAATAAGTAATGAAAATGGTAGTGTAAAAACTAAAAATAAATAAATAAAATAAAGATACTGGGGGACAAACAAACATAAGGAGTTGTAACAACTTTATGGCTAGCAAGGTACTTAAATATTTTATCAATGTCTGCCCAGGGACTGATACATTCCTGATTTCTCTATTAAAAATGTATTGCAATCTATTTATGAATTCTAATACTTCTTATAGCTAAATCTTTGGAAAATTTTAACTTACGATCTGCCCAACTGCTCAAGGAATTCAGCTGCGTTAGGTAACCAGAAGGTACTAGTAGACTCTTAGAGTACTCTCAAAGCAGAATGACCCATAATAGAGTCAAGATGAACTTATTACTCTAAACCCTGGCAGGGGAGAACACAGCCATTATCAGGCACGTAAAAGGGGACGGACTCTAAAAGTGGGTCACCCAGAACACTCCTAGCCTAATGGAATAATATGGTCAGTTCATACCAGAACATCAGACCCCAAGTTTAAAATAGAAGACAACCTCTTAAAAGCCCGTAACGCTGAAAGCCTCTGGATTGGTCCCCTGGAAACTACCACCAGGGGGAGCAAATCTCCCTTTTCCCTGAGGTAGAAAAGCTAAAATGCTCCTTTAGAATCCTAGAGGTGCAGTTACAGCAACCAGAAGAGGCAGGAGGGTGTCTTGCATTAGAGAAAGAAGGCTCTTTGATCTACATAATCAAATATCAATCTCGCCCCTATAAGGTTTCCAAAGCAGTGATTCTTCACTTGTGCAGGGAGAAAGCTTATTTGTAAACCTACACCCTCCCTTCCCCCAACCCAAGAGGATCATGGAGTGTAATGAACTATGTGAACAGATACTAGTAATAGGAATGTCCTGGGCATGCAACAACCATAGTGCTGTGTACACAAGCATGCACACACATTTGCAATCTATAGTTCTAGAACAATGCTGTCCAATAGAAAAATAAGCGAGCTACATACATAATTTTAAATTTTCTAGTACCTACTAAAAGAAAATCCTCTACTAGCAGTAAAAAGAAACAGGTGAAAAAGATTTTAATAGTATATTTTATTTAACCAAAATATCAAAAATATTATCATTTTAATTCAATTCAATGTAATCAATAAAAAATATTGAGATATTTTACTTCTGTTTTTTACCAAGTCTTTGAAATCTGGTATATATTTTACATCTATAGCACATTTAAATTCAGACTAGCCACATTTCAAATGTTGTATAACCACATGTGGCTAGTGGCTACCATATCACACAGGACAGCTCTAGAACATATTAACCTCTGTCTCCAACAAGCATGGTGAGACTTCGTCTCACATCCTTTGGACATGTTATCAGGAGGGACCAGTCCCTGCAGAAGGATATCATGCTTGGTAAAGTAGAGGGTCAGTGAAGAAGAGGAAGACCTTAAATGAGATGGATTGACACAGTGGCTGCAACAACGAGCTCAAACATTCACAACGATTGTGAGGATGGCACAGTACTGGGCAGTGTTTCGTTCTGTTGTACACAGAGTTGCTGAGTCGGAACAGACTCAACAGCACCTAACAACAACATCTACAACAAACCAAAACTCATGCTTCAGGTATACTTGACAATGATCTCGATTTTGAAATGTCTGCTACATAGATTTTTGCCAAAAGACTTACAGAGATTATTTCAATTCAAGAGAGAAAGTTAATCATGTATTCCCCTGGACTCTAGTCTCTCTGTGTCATATTACTGGATTAAACACTACACCTAGAGCTTTTATGAAGGGCAGACAGGAGAACACACTAACCTTGATTTCCTTCCTGTATTTCATCTATGTTTGTCTTTTACCTGGAGCTTTGGTGGCACAGTGGTTAAGAGCTCGGCTGCTAACAAAAAGGTTGGCAGTCTGAATCCACCAGCTGCTCCTCAGAAACCCTATGGGGCAGTTCTACTCTGTCCTGTAGAGTCGCTACGAGTCAGAACTGACTCGACAGCAATGGGTTTGGGTTTTGTCTTTTATCTACTTTTGTAAACTGCCTTAATTCTTTTATGGAATAAGGTAGAAAAAGGATAAATGGATGGATCCACAGCCAACCCAAAGGAAGACTGCTTCTACTGTTTTCTCTCATTTGGGGGCGAAAGTGCTTTCAAAGACCCCATTTTATTGCTCAATTATATATTTAACTATTCAAAATCTCTTAGATACAGTAAATTCCTCTCGGAACTCAATGTTAGAAAAAAAATTTCCCTTGATAGTATGTCCCATCCAATTGTAAAACCCGTTGTATTTACTTTTTTTTAAATCTTGACTGCTTAATTGCTCAATTAAAATTAGGGTTTTTGACATTATTATCCCCCCTTTGTTTCTAGATTCTTAGTCTTTATTCCTGTTTTTGAAGCAATCAAGTATTTTACCATAAACTATATCCAACTTTTTTAAGTATGTGAGTATAAATGTAAAGTTAACACTAAGCTGGAGGCATGAGCTACAAAAGTTCCAAAGTGTCAAGTTTACTGAGCTGTTCTAAAAACAATTATTTGTAGAGAACAGGGTGTGACTCCAGAGTTTTCAATATAGGGCATTTGAGAGCAACTTAGACGTACAGAATCCCTGGTATAGAATACCTCCCTTAAGAGGTAGGTCGGTAGGGACTTAGGTAAATAACTTGTAAAAAGGATGGTGGTCCATCATAGAGAAAGAACCCTAGAATACTATTTCAAGTCCAAGAGGCCAGAAGTTACAGGTCCTTCTACAGGAACTGACGTAGTTTCCTGCTTTGAGTAACATGCTAGTGGCAGAACTCTACAGTGCCCAAGGAGGAGACTCATTTCAAGGGAGTGAGGACTAAATTCCAAGGAATTAATGAGGTACAAGGGAATTATTTTCCTTATCCAGGTGAACAGACCAAATCACACTGAGTAGGTACAAATAACTGATGACAGTCCCAGCCTTGGTCTAATATAATAATAGCTACCACTTACTGAGCTCCTGTTATGTAACCAGCACTGTGCAAGATACTGTACAACGTCACTGTCTTTAATGTTCCCCTCTCAGAGGCAGGATGATCACAACTTCCCAAAGACAGAAAATGCTTTCACAAGAATTAACTACATTCCTTAAGGTAACACTAGTAAGTGGCTCAGTTGGGAATTCAACCCCAAGTTAAATGGTGTTCTTCCCATTATCCTGCCCCCAGTAAGGGTTACAGGCTATGCCATATGTTTCTTCCCTCCCATTTCTTGGAAAAGAATAGGGAGTAGAAAAGGGCAGAAAATGTCACCTTCCAAAATAACTTTAAAAAGAAAGTACAATGTGCTTATAAAAGACTGCTTTCAAAATAAAATAGGATAACTTTCCAATTATTTTTCTTTTGAAAATTTAAAACCTTTATTACAGGGCACACAAAGTACACAAAACTGTTTTTTTCTCTGAAATAGCACAAGAATTTAAAAAATCGTTGAATATGCTAACCTACTTTTGGAATAAACATTTCTGACTAGTAGTGATTATTTACCTTGATTTATAATCACCTTATATCACATCTTAAGCCAGGAGAATGCAATGTCGACAAAAAATCCGGGTCAAAGAAATATTATTGGTAGAGACACCCAGTTACAAACCTCCAATTTCCATATTCATTTTCTGTGCCTTTTTACCTGTTATTAAACACTCAATACCAGTGAGTATTTTAAAGCAACTTCCAAGGCTTACGTTAAAAGATAAGACTATACGTAGATAAAATGTAAATGTTTGCTCAAAGGTCAACTCTGAGTTTTGAAATATAATAAAAGTCTCTAGGCAGCAGATTTTAGAAAAATTAACATTTAACTTGTCTCTGGAGAATAACTGCTTATTTTAAAGGGACAACGACACATTTCAAGGACTTTCTCTACATTTCATTTTAAGAAAAAGACAATTAAGTTTAAATAGATAATTACCAACTTTTAAAAAGCTGAGCTGAGTTTTCTATGAAGGCTCATAGTCAAATCACTAATAATCTTACTGTAAATAAAAACATGGAGTCCCTGGGTGGTGCAAACAGTTAACGCACTCAGCTGCTAATCAAAGATTGGACGTTTGAGTCCACCTAAAGGCTCCTCAGAATAAAGGCCTGGCGATTGACTTCCAGAGACCCTATGGAGCACAGTTCTACTCTGACACACATGGGGTCGCCCTGGGTCAGAAGTGACTTGACAGCAACTGGTAAAGTAAAAATAGACATCTAATTATCAACATATGAATAAAAATTGGAAATAGTTATATTAAAAGACAAATGAAAATTATATATTTATTTATATATTTCTAAACAACTCAAAGCCTTTATGATTCAAAATGGCAAGGCAAAACAATTATCAAGTAAATATTCAGATAAATTGGAGGAGCCCTTGTGGCAAAGTGCTTAAGTGCTCGGCTACTAACCGAAAGGTCGGTGGTTCGAACCCACCAGCTGCCCTGTGGAAGAAAGATGAAGCAGTCAGCTTCCGTAAAGATTACAGGCTCGGAAACCCTACGGGGCATTTCTACTTTGTCCTATATGGTCGCTATGAGTCCTAATAGATTCAACGGCAATGGGTTTGGTTTGGGTTATTCATATAAACTGAAATTTAAGAAAAAAGAACAATGTAACGTATATGTTTTTCTTTAAGTACAGCACTAAAAAATAATTTTGACAAGACACCAGGATGAAGTCTATGCAGAGCAGGAATGCTTAAAGGCCTCAATCCTATATCAATTGAATCATTATGAGAATAAGTACTATACCTGAAAGTTCTTTTTCCAAACAGCACAAGCATCACTGGACCTAAAAGATACAATGAAAAGGGAGTCTTCTCCACTCGAATCCATAAGTTGAACTGTACAAGGATCTCCAAATGGAAGCTGGCACACACTTTCAGGAGTACCATTATGGAATGAAATCAGCTGATTCTTTTGAGTAAGGGCAATCAGAGACATTCTTAACTGGTTGTTAACTAACTCAGTTGCACAGACATGCACACAAGTTACCACACTGCTATAAGCATGAGGGATAACATATGTATCAGGTAAGATTTCTTGGTGGTCAAGAGAGTATACACAAAATTTCGTATTCCAAATAGCACAATCTGACTTTGAAGGTCTCTGGGTGCATCCCAATAAAACGATACCTAGATTTCCAATCTCCCCTGCCCACACAACAGAGGAAAAGTTAACTGGCACACTAACAACTGTGCCAGTTTTGGAAGAGATACAGAAGACTGCTTTGACGTGTCTCCATAAAATTAAAGGACCATTAAGAACCCTTAAGCTGTCCTTCAACTCATAGCCTAGTTTAAAACTCAATCGCTTTTCGAATTTATTGGTACTGTGAAGCAACAGCAGAAAATAATTGAAAACGTTATCTTTTTCGCTTTGTATCATAACATGAGGAAGGCTGAGTCCAGTTCTCAAGTCTGACACGCAGCTGCAACAAATAATTTTAAAATGAGAGTTTTCTTCCTCCATGCAAAAAAACCCAGTGGACTTCTGAGCAAATACTCTTGTTCCTTTGTCAAACACCATTCTTCTGACATGTAATATGGGTGTTTTTGCAGCCCCTGTATCGGCAAACTTTCTTTTACACAACTGAAAAACAAGGACTTCCCCATTATAACACAAGAGTCTTTCTTGTTCGTTAGATGACATTGCTTGCTTGCTAATCATGCCACAATATCAAGTCTTCGTGTTGATCTGATTTTCAAATGCAAATTGATTCTAGTTGATACTTTAAACCTAAAAAAGAAACGAGAAAAACTACCATGAAGTAGGCAGAGTTAAAAAGAAACATGTTTCTTTTAGAAACCTATCACACAGGTAACTATAATTTTATTAAGTATTCTTACATTTTTTAGAATACTATTGTAACCATGTCACACTTATCAAAAATATATCTCAAATATCCCTTAAAACTCATGAGTCGGAATTGACTCAACGGCAGTGGGTTTGGTTTTTGGTTTGATCCCTTAAAAGAATTCAATTTGCTAAGAATGTGAATAAAAAATAAAAATTTTTTTAAAAAAAGAAAAAAACCATTGCCGTCAAGTCGATTTCGACTCATAGCGACCCTAGAGGACAGAACAGAACTGCCCCATACGGTTTCCAAGGAGCGGCTGGTGGATTCGAACTCCTGACCTTTTGGTTAGCAGCCAAGCTCTTAACCACTGCACCACCAAGGCTCCAAGAATGTGAATAACCTTGTGAAAAAAGATAACAGAATGCATTAAGAACATTTATTTAAAGCTTTAGATGCTCAATTCAAACTGACATCAGGTTTCTTTCTGGCTCAGAGAATTTCTTAAGGTTCCACTTCTCTGTTTCAAACCTACCAATTCTCATCTGGTTTCCTCATTTTCCAACGGGCTGCCCTGTACTTAGTTTCTCCCTCTGCTTAGCTGCTTCAGAATGACAATTAAGTTAATCGATGACTTGTCTTAGGAGCTGAGTCTCTCCCCAGATATGGTGACTCTAATTAGACTGCTCCCACAGCCCAGGTTCTTGGGCTCTTACTTCCTGGCGACAGGAGCTCACACAGACTCTATCACAAAAATCAAACTCCAAAAGAAAAAAATAGGAGGTGCTATAAGATGGCTTTAAAAATCTCCAGAGAAGATAAATAAATCTTACTTTAGAAAAACAATCCATTTTTACTACCTAAGGAAGTCACTATTCTTACTCAAAGTAAAAAAAAAGATTAATAATGTAATTAATTATAATGAACAGAAGTATTAAATAATAACAGCTATCAATTATTCATGCTTCTTATGCCAGGTGCAACATATGCATTGTCTCATTTAATGCTCACAACTAGTCTCTTAAAGTACTGTATTCTTGTCACCCCATCTTTTAAATGAGAAAGCCTTATTTTAACAAAGGTAAGAACATTTCCCAAGGTTATGACACCAGTCTGCAGTTAGAATGCTAATGTGCAGTGGCCTCGATTTCTAAGAGGGGCCCTCTGACTCCTGAGACTACACTGGTAACCACCAGCTGGTCCCGACATGCATTCCCCTACTCTGAACAAACTGGTTATAAGAAAGGCAACCAGGGAGAACTAGTATAATAGAATAAAGAACAAAGGAACATTCCCTAAATTGAACAAACATGTAAAAAAGATGTTGATTTCTCTTTATTTAGTGCCTATATGTACTGGTCACTCCTTTAACAGTTACTGGTGGAGCTGGAAGACAATATGCTGAGTGAAATAAGTCACAAAGGACAAATATTGTATGACCTCCCTTATATAAAAAGACAAGAAAAGGCAAATGTATAGAGACCACGGTTTATCTGTGGTTTCCATAGGCAGGAGGGAGGGGGGCGGGGGGCGCATTTTGCTTATGAAGTTTTGAGCTTCAGTTTATGGAGATGGAAAAATCGTACTGATTAAGGGTAGGGTTGCACAGCCAATTAAAGTAATCACTGTCAATAAGTTGTACACCTGTAAAAAGCTGAATTGGCCAAAGTTGTGTGACAGACATATGCACAACAACAAAGAGTAGCTGCTGAGGCTGCTTAGGTACAACCAAACACCTCATGGGATTTGGTTCCTTGGTTTGGAGGTTTAGGGTCACGGTTTCATGGGACATTCCATTAAATTGGCCTAATAACGTGTATAGTGCTTCTGTTCTACCTCCTAGTTCATTGTGTAGTGCCTGGGGTCTTAAAAGCTTGCAAGCAACCATCCAAGGCACAACAATCAGCCCCTATTCACCTGGAGCAACAGAGGAAGAAGTCAGGAGCAGGAGAATATGGAATGTCTTCCATGAACAATGGCCTCCTTTGCCATGCAACCAGAAGAAATAGATGGTGCCCAGCTACCATTTCTGAATGTTTTGGTCAAAGATTTTACAGAAAAATCCTGATCAAAGGTGGAAAACGCATAAGAGAATTTCAAATTCTCATGGAATCCAGACTTTCTGGAGGCATGGAGGCTAGACGAACCACTGAAACTATTACCCTAAGATAAATTTTAAACCTTAAACCAAAAATATCCCCTGAGGTTTTCTTAAAACCAAATAATAGTTTAGTTTAACTAGTAAAGAATGTCTGCCTTGGGCATTTTTATGCTCTTTTAAGATCTATCTATATGGGATCAAATTGAAAACAGCAACTTGAAAGATTAGACAGGAAGCTTAGGAGGCAGTGAGTTTATGTTAATGGAGGAGGAACAACTCAGAAAAGGAAGATGAGAATGGTTGTACAACTCGAAGAATGTAATCAGTGTCATTGAACTGTACATGCAGAAACTTGAATTGGTATATGGTTTGCTGTGTATACTCTCAACATCAACAAAAAAATAATTTAAAAAAAAGTTACTTAACGCTTACCATATGCTAAGCAGTACTGCACATGGTTAGAGAGCAGCTGTGAATCCCGATTCCCTCCTTCGCTAGAAGTATGACTTTGGGAAACTTACTTAACCCCTTTGTCCCTCACATCTACATCTATATTAAAAAACAAAAAAACACTGTTGCCATCAAGTCGATTCCAACTCACAGCGACCCTACAGGACAAAGCAGAACTGCCCCACAGGGTTTCGAAGGAGCGGCTGGTGGATTCAAACTGCTGACCTTCTGGTTAGCAGTCAAGCTCTTAAACATTGCGCTACCAGGGCTCTACATTTATAAATGGGTTGTAATAGCAGTATCGGGAGTCCTTGGGTGGTGCAAATGGTTAATGCACCTGGCTGCTAACCAGGGCTTCCAACTGGTTTGTCTCTTCAGGTTCAAACCCCTGTTGAGAATTTGCATTTCTAACAAGTTCCCAGGAACTTCTACATAAGAATCACTTGGGAATCTTGTCAAAATGTAGATTCTGACTCAGTATATCAAGTTCAGGGAACTTGCTAGAAATGTAAATTCTCAGCAGGAGTTCCAACCAGAGAGGAACCTTTGAAGCCCTGCTGCTAACCCAGAGGCACTTTGGAAGAAAGGTCTGGTGATCTACTTCCAAAAGATGACAGCCATTGAAAACTCTATGGAGCACAGTTCTGCTCTGACATGCATGGGGTCGCCATGAGCTGGAATTGACTCAAGGCTAACCGGTGGTAGTGGAATAACAGTATCTACCTCATAAGGTATTGGAATTAAATAATCTAATCCAATTAAAATAGAGCCTGGCATGCAGAAAGTGCTCCCTAAATGTTAGCTGCTATCATCATCATTACCATCACCACCACCATCATCATCACCAACTCTGGTTTAGATAGTGCCTAACCTTAAAAACATCAAGAGTTGCGTACGTAACAACATGTGAATGTTGAAAGATCCTGCTCCACTGTAAATGACTCTAACTCATACTCTCTTTTCTCCTACTTGTGGATCATTTTGTACACCAGTAAATTCAATTATTTCAGAAATAACTGAAAACTAGGTAACTGACAATTAAGCAATATTGCTTTTCTCTGAACAAGATGCAAACTCCAAAGGCTTAAGTTTTGTTCCTTTATTGTAAAAATCTATCAATATTCCACTTAGAAAAAAGCATCACTGTGGACCATAAACTACAAATTTAACTTAATTTAGCCTGCATTTTATAGAAAGAATTTTGATTTACCGAGGCAATTCTGTTTAAAAGACTAGTTTCTGCTTTTAAATTGGAGATGTCACACCTTACTGTCTAGTTTCCAAATACATCACTTGTTGTGATTTTAAAGTATTATCACAAATTCTTCGATAAACCTCCATCAAGAAGTGGTGCTTCAACTGGACTAAACCAAAGCTAAGAAGTTTCCTGAATACAACCAAACACTTTGAGGGAGAGAGTAGCAAGGGCAGGGGTCTGGAGACCATGCTTTCAGGGGACATCTAGGTCAATTGGCATAACAAAGTTTATTAAGGAAACATTCTGTATCCTACTTTGATGAGTGGCGTCTGGAGTCTTAAAAGCTAGCAAGCAGCCATCTAAGATGCATCAATTGGTCCCAACCTACCTGAAGTAAAGGAGAATGAAAAACACCAAAGTCACAAGGAAAGTATTAGCCCAAGAGACAGAAAGGGCTACATAAACCAGAGGCTGCATCATCCTGAGACCAGAAGAACCAGATGGTGCCTGGCTACCACCAATGACCGCCCTAACAGGGAACACAACAGAGAGTCCCTGATGGAGAAGGAGAAAAGTGCGGTGCAGAACTCAAATTCTAGTAAAGACTAGACTTAATGGTCTGAGATTGGAGGAACCCCAGAAGGCATGGCCCCCAGACTCTCTGTCAACCCAGAACTAAAACCATTCCTGAGGCCTACGCTTCAGACAAAGATTAGACTGGACTATAGGACACAAAATGAAAATGATACTCATGAAGAGTGTGCTTCTTAGCTCAAGTAGATACATGAGACTAAATGGGCAGCTCGTGTCTGGAGGTGAGATGAGAAGGCAGAGAGGGTCAGGAGCTGGTTGAATGAACACAGGAAATCAGGGGTGGAAAGGAGGAGTGTGCTGTCACAGTATAGGGAGAGCAATTAGGGTCACACAACAATGTATGTATAAATTTTTGTATGAGAGATTAACTTGAATTGTAAACTTTCACTTAAAGTACAATAAAATAAAGAAAAAAAAAGAAGTGGTGCTTAATTCCCCCTCCCCTTGAATGAGAGCTGAGCACTGGGACTTGCTTTTAACCAGTAGAATATGGCAGAAGTGATAGTGTTTAACTTTAGGTCATAAAGAGCATTGTGGCATCCTGTCTGACTTCTTTCTTGGATCACTTTCTAGGGGATGCCACATGCCATATCATTAAG